ATAAGACATCAGCAAAAAGATGATGATTCTGATAAAGATTTTCTAAATAATCATTCATTTACAGAACTTAATTGGAATGAAGAACAACTTAAAAAAAATGTCAATATTAGATTTTCTTGTCCTAATTGTAGAAATTTTTAAATAGTTTGTTTATTATGTAAGCCAAAAGGTACTTATCCTCCTGAAAATAAATAAAAAGAGGAAATTATTGCATACAAATGATCCTCTTGAAGATTATTTGAAAAAAATAAATAATAAATCCACTATTTCAAGACGTTATACTGCTAATTGTAGGAGCATAATACAGAATAAAAGCTCAAAGTGAATGAGTGACTTGAAATTATTGATTAAATAACTATAATATAAGCTAATCCATAATCTAATACTTAGATTCCATTTCATGTTTGTGATTTTGTAAAGTTAATTCTTTTGATATAACAACAGAATTAATTATTATGTTAGATGTTGTAGATCATTTCATAGTAATTGTGAACCTTCTCTTAAAAGATAGGTAAGAAAGTTATGATCAAAAAAATGAAAATATTCAAATAAGATATCTATCTTTATTCATATGAAGAACTAAGCATCATTCTAGTTAAACATTTTGATTATTTTAGGATTGGTGTAGATATTGTGGTGCAAGATTTGCATCCAATTTTACAAAAAGTCCATATTATATTAATTGAAGATAGAAAAAGTAATTTGCTCTATCGTAAGTATAGATTTACCAAATAGTACAATTTTCATTTCTTTTAAGTATAATTTTGAGTTGTTCCTACATTAATTTATGCATTTTTGGTTGAATTATTAAATTAAATATGGAATTTAATTTGTAAGCAATTTTGTCACTATTTCTTAATGAATATAAATTTGGAGAATCAGAAATAAATTTAAAGATTTATAAATATTTTCAACATGTTTGATGAAAAATTTAAAATAATTTCTAATTTATTAAAATAAATTTTTATTAAGTTAAGATAATATTTAATATTAATATAATTATAAATAATCTTTCCATATCTAAATTAAAATTTTTCTCAAACTTCAATTTAAAACTATTATATTCAAATTAAAACTCATTAACATTCTATTCATGATTCTAAATAGTGATAGAATAGCTTTTTTATTTATTTTATAGGTTTATCAAATTTCATAATATATTCGAATAATTAATGTGAGTAAAGAATTTACTTAATTTATATTTTTTATTCAGATTTATGTGATAGATCAATTTTAAATAAAATTAATAAATATATCTAAAATTTTTATTCAATATAAACTTGGTTATACTTGGGCATTTTATCTCTCTGTCTATTCAAGTTCTCTCAACAATTTTACTTAAAGTGAATTGTAAAATTACTCTTATTTTGTAGACCTAATTTATGCCCCTTTCTTTAAGATGTATTAACGTTCTTCTCCTTTTGGACAATCTTGGAAATTTTTTTCATTTAATACTGGATTGTATTAACAGTATAAATAATTATGAACAGGGCTATTTATATTATCAATATTTGTTTAATGCGTTTAGCTTCTCTCTGGAAAAATCCAATTTCGTTTAAAATAAAATATATATATAAGAACCAAAGTAATAGCTAAATTTAGAGAGCCGAAAACAGGATGAAAGTAGAAATTTTAGTTAGCAAAAATTATTACTAAATGGGATCTTAATTACATGATAAATGTAAATATTATAATAAATTTATTGAGGCGACCATTTACTATTATCTTTCGATAATTTCCATTATGTATAAGTTAATATTTATTTAACCAGTAGATAATTAAAATTGATATCAGAGTTATAGGATAGCATATTGGAAGCAAATAACCATGAAAGGTACATATGCCGACAAAAATAATTAATTCAATAGTTTTTTGATGGAAATCTAACTCTTTTAAATATAATTAGTTTGCTTCAAATTGTGTTAAATTTGATTATTTATTGAAATATTTGTAATAAATAATTTTAATTAATTACCAGGCATATTAAACATCTATTATTGAAAATATCATTTATGCAACAGCATTTGTCAAAATTATCAAAATTATATCTTCATTAACCCCTCCAGATCTCCAAAACTTTTATTAATCATCAATTTCTATGTAATCTGCAATAATAAGAGGGGGTAATAAATAATACATAAAAAAAATAATAATTGTTTTCGTTATATCTATATTTTTCAGAAATTAGAAGAACCTTCTATCAATCCAATCTTTTTCCCCTAACTTCCTATTTCTTTAGAATCTCTACGCAAGAGAAACAAAAAAATTATTAAAAGTATAAATAGACCATTTTGAACCAATAAAAGAAATGAGAGCAACTAACAAGCTCAAAATAGTATTATAGTCGAAAAAATAGTTTTTTTTTAAACTTCTCCTTTAGGATTTCTATTCTTCATTAAATTCTATTTTATACAATTTCATTTATTCAATACATTTTATTTTGAGGGAATTTCATCAAATCTTTTTTTAAAAATTTTTTGAAAAAATCATCTCATGTCTCCTCAGCTTGGTTAATTATACCATTAGGCCCTCTAGTTTGTTCATAGTAGGCATACTTCTATCTCTTTAACTCCGTCAAAAATTTTATTTTTTTAGGCGCTCACTAAAAGGGGTTGGGTTTGGGTTTGGGTTTGGGGTTGGGGTTGGGTTTGGGGTTGGGGTTGGGGTT